AAAAGAGCCCACAATCAGCACGTTTTTCATGCCCTCTGCCCATTACCTTCAGAAACAGCACTGGCAGAGCACCATTCTTGCTTTGCTGTTTTTTCACTGTGGAAGCCCGCTAGTGTGGTGCCTTTAAGTACTGGCTAAAATTTTGTAATCATGAAAACACTAGTAACACTGGTAACGGGTAACAGAAATGACCACAAATCTCTTCACCTTAATGACTTCTTGGGGTTTGTTATATCATAATAGCGTTCACTGAGGCCAGTGTACCAACTGAAAACAATAGTTACATGAAGAAATTCTGTGGAATTCTGTGTTTACATTATATCCAAATTCTATGTGCTTTGTCAATATTCCTCCTACACGTACACTAGCAGAGTGTCAGGAGAAATCTGGGTTTCTGTATTGTCATAGAACCACCAAACCCATCATAGCTGGCCTCATATTTTTAAGGTTTGGGTGCAAACAGGAATACAGCAGTAAATCAGAATGAGATTGATTTGATTTCCAGTATCACCTTAATCATTCTCTCGCCTGTTAAAAGCATTTCTGTGTGCATACAGAGATTAAGGACAGTAATGAAGTATTTGTACTTCGTTACTTCCCACCTCTGCCTAGTGTTGGCTCAGGTTCACAGTATCAGTTTCTCAATGGCAAGATCTCCACTCAGTTAAAAAAAAAAACCCAAAACATCTGCACACTAGGGATGTTCCTGGTAATTAATTTCTTAGTCGACTAAACAAGGGGGGGAAAAGAAGACTAACCAGCTAGTCTAAAACTAAGAAACACTCAAATATTAAGTTAAATTTGATAATCGTTTAATGAAAAATGTCAAAAACTGATAAGAAAATAGTTTTAAACCATTTATGACATTCTTCAATAAAATGAATCATGCCACTTGACTGCAGCACCTTGCATTGTGCATTGTCAAGGTTACACGTCCAGACAGTGTAGAAGAAAAACACTTAAACTGAAGTTACATATGCCCCAAAACATGTAACTATAACAGATGTTCACGTATTACTAAAACATGATTAATACGTTAACATCTGGAAAACAAATAAATTGCGACCCTAAGCTGTGGCGTGAATGACAACGGAACAATATTGGCTTTCGGTGAAGTAAGAAGCAACAACTTTTAGTCCATTATTCGCAGCATTCAATCGTTTGCCAGAGAAGCATTCTGAAACATTCGGATCCTTTTCAAAGTCACTGTATCCAGACTCCAGCATGTCTCAGAGAGAAGATCCAAAAAGACAAGCTTACCTCAGCTCTCTTCCCTGGGGTGAACAAGTAGCGCTTGGAAGAAATGCAGAATGAAAATCTCATGAACAGAGAGAAGATTATGTTCCTCATGGAAGAAAATGAGAGAAAGAGCGCTGAATTTAAAAAAAACTGTCCGACCAACTTCAAGAAAAGGAAGGTATTATTGAGGAGAAACAATGGGATCTCCAAGACATAGACAAAAAGCTCCAGGAGCTCCAAGGAAAGCTTGATGAAGAAATCCTCCAAGAGAAAACGCAACATGACATAAAACAGAAAGAAATGGACTGCAAGCTTGAGGACACGGAAGAAAAATACTCTAAATAATGCTTGATGAAACAAAATAAAGAGTTTCTTCAAGATAAAGAGCAATAGAATATAACACAGAAAGAAGAAAAACTTCCTCTTCTCCAGGACTTTGAGAGGAAAAATCAAAAAATACAAGAATTTTATAATAACATGAAGTACAAAGCAACTGAACTGGAAGAAGAAAAGGACAAACTGGAAAAACAATGCTCAGAGATGCAGAGTAAGATCATTGAAATGCTGAGAAAAAACAGACAACTTGAGGAACTTTGTAACAACTTGAAGTCCCAAAACACTGAAATACAGGCGCAAAAGCAACAAGAAGAAAAGTCGCATGAAAACCTGCAGTGTATGTTTCAAGAAATCCAAAGGAGAAGTCAGCAGTTAGAAGAAATACACAACAGAGAAATACAGAAATGCACAAGGCAAAGCTAATACAAGAGGCAACATCTAAAGAACTAAAATAAAAGCTTGATGAAAAAGAAGCAAAATTTGCAGAAGTGGAGAAAAGATGCAAGAAACTTGACACACAAAATGCAGAAACAATCGATGAGTTGAAAACCCTCATCCTAGAGAAGTGCCGGATCAGTGCCTGAAAAAGAAGCAAAAACGTTTCCTCTTTTTCCAGAGGGAGACTGCTGCTCCTCACCTGATATAGCCTCCTTTTTCTCCACCTCTGTTCCATCTTAATTTTCACCCCTTCTCCCCCCCCCCCTCGCTTCCCTCTTTCCCCTTTTCATCCTTTATTTTTTTCACCCTCACCCTCATGTTTCTCCCTGTTGAAAGGCAGTTTTTCCTCCCCACTGTCGCCTAGTGCTTGCTCGGAGGGGATTTTTGGATTTTCTCTCCTCTATCTTTTTACTCCTTTCCATTTAAAAAAACAAAACAAAACAAAAAAAACAACCCTTTTTCCTCTTCTATATTTCCTTTACCCTCTTCTTCACAAGCTCACCCCCATCCCCCCTCCATTTTCTCCGTCATCTCCCTACCACGGGGTAGGGGGACGGGGGGGACAATAAACACAATTGGCTACATTTTATTTGTGTCTACGGAAGAGGATTAGGGCCACTGGAAGAAAAAAAAGTGGGCACGTCTTTTTTTTTCTTCTTTTCCTGAATTCTGAGAAAAAAGTCAGAATTCTGAGATTAAAGTCAGAATTCTGACTTTTTTCTCAGATTTTTTTTCCAGTGGCCCTAATCCTCTTCCGTATGTGTCAGATCAATGTCCCCATTCAACAATAATTCATCTTAAGTATGAAAACAAAAAATGCGCAATAGCTGAATGTGTGTTTGTGTGTGTGCATAATATGCATACTTTACTTGTTGGAACTGAATGAATTTGATTGCTGAACATGAAATCGACTGTTACAAGAAAATAATTTGAATTCACAATCCAGCGTGTAATCACTTCATGGCTTAAGTCGTCTGCACGCTGCAGTAACAGAAAATATTGCATAGGCATGCTGGGTGGTAGGTGGAGAGCAGACCCAAAATGCAGGAACCCTCAGACAAAAGTAAACTCAAAGTGCAGCTTTATTAGGTAGAAACAGCAAGGCTAACAAAAACATTAGCTGAGCACACAACATGGAGGAGTACGGCAATGACATGATGAAGACAACAGGGAAACTGAGGACTTTAATGCACACATGAGGTAATTAGGAAGATGCAACACGGCTGGGCAAAACAAGACACAGGTGAACTAAGTCAGACAAAGCTGAACATAACACAAGCAGGACAAGAGACTATCAAAATAAAACAGGAAACTACCACTGAGAGTGCGACATACAGACATGACAAACACAAAGGGAGACAATAAACAGAGACATGACTGGGGAAACAGACAAAGAATACAAAGAAAACAAACACTCAAAACCACTATGAGAAAACTAGAAGACTTCAAACATATTGTGCTCATATTGTGTTGGGCTAGCTATATGCTGAAGTACTGCTACCACGACCTGCAGTCGTTCCGATGTTGTGCATAATAAATAAATAAATAAAAACACCGGCCCACTTTAACCCCTGACTATTCCACACCATTTTGGCTCTTTTATCTATTTTTATGTGACATTCCCTGGTGACTAATAGGTGAACAGGACTTCCTTTCCTGTGTTGCTGTTCAGACTCAGATCAGTTTGATGTTTAATGGCCTGCATTGACGAAATAATAACTTCCCTCAAATGACTTAAAGCAAAAGTAACAAGTCCATTTTCAAAATGTAAGGAGTAAAAGTACACAGTTGTCTCAAGTACTACTGAAGTAAAGTACAGAGACCTGAACATTCTACTTAAAGCACAGCACTTGAATATATGGCTGTAGAAGGGCAACAAATCAGGCTTTTTTTTCTTTATAAATCTTTCCTGTGGAAAATGTATATTTTATACAGATTTATGGGACCATTTAGTAAAAGACACAAAGATGTCATTGCAAAGATGACTGATGGTTTCTGACTGGACTAGAACTGGTGAAACTGTGAAAATAATAATCGCTTAAAAGTCACAATTTTGAGCTCAGGCTGATTGCTTCTCATACAAGCTTGCAGCACATAAACAGAGCCACAGCCAGGACTATAGACATTAAGTCCAGATTGCTTTGGCAGAGTCTCAACACTCAAAGAAATGGACAAGAATAAACTGGAAAATTCCTTTCACTGTAATGCTTTTTTTTTTCCAATTAAATTTAGCCTAAAATCTGTTTAAACACTGGGTGATATGTTTTGTGACTGTAAATCTAAATGTGTGTCTATGTGAATACACAGACTGAAGTTAACAGGTTTAGAGGTAATGTTTGAGCCTCTGGTCATAATAAATGAAAGGAATAAGCTATCAAATGACAGTTCAGGGTTTAAAGCTTTTCTATCTCTGAATTAATTGGAGCTATGAGTGTAAAAGGAGGCAAGACGGACTGCTGAGTCTGGAAAGCAAGCAAAGATATGATTAAGCTTTGAGCTGCCATTTAAATTTAAATTTGTATAATAGGGAATAAAGTAATTGGTTAGAAAGTAACAACCATGAGATAAGAGATAACGAGAAATAACTTGTGTCAGCATAATGTGAAGGTGAGAAAGATTAACAGGGAGTAAGACTTAAAAAATGTGTTAGAGGAGTCTTTACTGAGGTGACAAAAGAGTACAAGGGCAAACTAGTTATAAGAAAAAAGAAGGCAAGAAGCGAGGCGGGGAAACAGAAAAACTAAAAAAAAACCCTGCAATCTTCACTATATATACACAAACTCAATACATATACATATAAGCCTGGATGCTATATAATACTTCAGCTTCTGTCCGTTTTATATTCAGTTTTATTGCCTATATTGGTAATGTTCAAAACACCAATGCATAAAAAAAATCGTTAAACCTGCTTTCCAGAAATTTTGGAGTTAATCTTCATCTGTTTAAAGCCCTGTTCTGTAACTGCCTGATCATGTTGATGCTCGGATGTACGGGCTTCCTATGAGTCCCTGAAGGCAGCGCTGGCCCTAGCAGTGATTATTGAGCTCCCGGGAGACTTCATGGAGAGGGAATGAGATGAAATAGGACTTGAAGCCGGATCATGGCGGCGCCTCTCGGGCGGGACACCTTACCTGAACACTGGTCTTACGGTGTCTGCGGGGACGGCAGGGTCTTCTTCATCAAGTGAGTGGGATAACAAACGCTTTATCGCGCCGTCTCTCCCGGTTTAACGGGAGTTGGCGGGGTCTGCCCGGTGTTTTCTTCCCGGCGGTGTAACAGGTGTTTTTCCCTCCTCTCTCTGTCTGTGCTGCAGCGATGAGACACGGACCACTACCTGGCTCCATCCCCGCTCCGGTCAACCTGTAAACTCTGGACACATGATACGCTCAGGTAGCTAGCTAAGCTAGGTCTCCAGGGCAGTTTCACCTGTGCTTATTTCGCATATTTGCTTATTTAACGGTGTTTGTCGCTGCTAACTTCACTATACGGTCCGGGCCCGACAAAGTTTCAAGTGTTACGAACAAGTCTGTTGTCTGGTTTTATTTTAGACCTGCCTTGCGGATGGGAGGAAGGTTTTACGGACGAAGGGGCCAGTTACTTCATAAAGTAAGTTCCTTGCAGACATATACTGCTGCCGTCTCCGTTACTGCTACCTGTGCGTTACTTGAAGTTGCCGTGCAGCTTAATATGGCTCCTGGCTCGAACTCCCTGCTACTAGCAGGAATAATGACCGCTGGGACAGTGTGGATTTAAATGGGGTGTGCCTGGGGCTAACCTGCTGAACCTCTAATGACCTCACTGCTTTCATTTGTGCTGTGCGTGAGAAGCGGCTATCAGGTGTTTGTCATGTTCTCGCGTTCTGCCTTTTGGTACAGACCCACACTCACGTGTGTTTGCGAGCTTTTACGAGAGTTAATTTGTTATACAGTGATAAGAGATGATCTCTGGTTAACTTCCTCATATCCCAGAAGTAGTTTGAATTTTTTTTTTTTTTGCATATTTTAGCTCCTGGATAACCTACAGAGTTTATTGTGTACTACAGGGCAGCAGATAGTTGTTTAGGCTGATAACCATGTAATAAAGAAATCCTGATGGACATGTGACCTCTTTCAAGATTACCAGTAAGCAGACTTGCAGCTTCTTAATACTAACCCTCTATGATCAGGTTCTACTAACCATTGTATAGAACTGTATGGTTTGGTTGTTGGGCTCACAATATACTATAGATGTGTTATAGAAGGTTTTCCACCATATATCTTTAACTTGAGATTTAAATGTAAAGGCATTTAAAATTGGCAGGTTAATGACTCTGGTAATTAGGTCAGTGTTTAATTGACTTGTTAAAGCTATGGGCCAGTGATGGGCTCTGCCCAAGATAATTACTGTTGTTGTTGTTTGAATGCATTGTTTTGTAAATGCATTCATATCATATTAAAGTTGTATTATAAGTTTAACATAGTCAAATAAAAAGACTCCTACAAACAGCTGTAGGAAAGGAACACAACTCTCATTGCGTACATAACAATTAACACATGACCCTACGCTGTGTTCACTGTACCATTCCATGTTTGGCACTGATCACCACCTGCACTCATGTATATATCATGTATATATCTTTCAACGTAGCACTCTTAATTCTTACTCTCATGTATATATCTCATGTATATCTCATGCACATATCTTTCCACGTAGCACTTTTAATTCTTATCCCTACTTTTATTTTTTCCATGTCTACTTAAGTGTTATTTATGACACCATGTTTGCACTGAAGCACCGCAGCAATTTCCTAATGTTGTAAACCTGCTCAACATTTGGCAATAAACCCCATTCTGATTCTGATTCTGATTCTGATTAAACCCTTCTGGCAGACTGACTCTTATGTAACACAAGCTGAAGACACACATGCATACCTACACCCATGACATAATCTGTATTATCAAGAATTTTACAGTGTAAATATTATATTATGGTTTGCAGGTAATCTTAGTAACCTGATTACTGACATTTGATCCTTAATCAGCAGTCTTTTAAAAAGCTTATTAAAACTCAGATTATGTGAGAGTCAGGCCCCCTGCTGAGACACAGTCTGTAGTCTTCTCTCGGTATCAGCTGTTCACTGCAGTGTGAGGTATGGTTTCTTTTCTTTTTTTGGGGGGGGGGATAACAGTGCATGGGGTTTTTTTGGGCGTCAGTGACGGACTTATAAGATTAGGAGTAATGACAAACCTTTTTGTTTTTGTCTTTAGTGTCTCAGATGGATTATTATATATATATTATATATTATATATTCAAAATTCCCAGGAATACTGATCTACTTGGTTACACTTTTGAGTTTTTGCTGAAACTGCTTGAATGAGATTAAAGTTTATTGTGATATGCTGATAAATTGCACAGTAATACTGAAAGGTGTTTCTAAATTGATAAACACCGTAAATATCAGCATGATCTTAATCAATAAATGTGTGAATTATGGTGGGAGTGTGGATATAAACTCAGTGCATTAGCTGCTAAACATTATTTCTTTACTGTCCTGCGTAATTGTATCCTTATAGAAAAGTGCCAAAAATTGACTGCAGTGAAAACAACAATGAAACTGTTTTACAAAACCTCACAAAAGATGCTCACTGGTTTTTTGTTTTGTTTTTTTAGTTGATATCTGATAAGTGAAAAAGATGAATGTCTTGGGGCTGTGTTGTGTTCTGCCTCGTTATCCCTGATGCAGGAGCTTATCTCTGCATCTTCAGTGATGTATGAAATGAAAGCAAAATTCTCACTAGAAAAAAAAATGCTCTTTGACCCTCCTTTGTCCTCTCAGTGAGGTAAAACTTTAAGATGCAGTTATTTGGCAACTTTAAACTTTTAAAAAGATCTTTTTATGAAAAAAGAGTCATAAAAAGAGTTTGGAAATTCAGACCATATCTTTGTTGTAAAGAGTCCAGATCGGTTGAGCAGAATAGTTTTGTGTGTTTGGCAGTGTAATTCAGCAGACAGAGAAGGAAAAACACTTGTTTAGTGCCTGAACAGAAAAGTTTGGGACTTTGGTGGTATTGACTCGGAATTTCACTCTGGGTTTCATTCAAAACGTGAGACTTCAGATTGCAAATGTGAAGACACGCTGAGACCTACAAGGACTGGACAAATCGTCATGTAAAGTCTTTTTTTTCCTACCAACTTTGAGAGGATTGAAAGTCAGGAGGGAATTCAATAAACAGCTGGAACTAGCTGGAATTTTAGCAGTAGACAGAGTTATTGTATGCACTGAGTTTGAGATTGCGTAATTTGAAGATAGTTAGAGAGGCAAGACAAAGATGGTTTGGACATGTGCAGAGGAGAGAGTGCAAATATTGGATATATGATGTGAAATATGGAGCTGTCATGCAGGAGGAAAAGAGGAAGACCACAGAGAAGATTCATGGATGGAGCAAAGGAGGACATGTAGAGGGTTGGTGCAAAAGCAAAACAATAAAAATGTTTTATTTATCCATCCAGCCATCCCTTTTCCTTCACTTATTCAATTCAGGGTCATGCGGGGTGGGAGCCTATCCCAGCTGCCATAAAGAGAGCAGGGGTAACCTTAAAGAGGTCTCCAGTCTGTTGAATGGCTAACCACCATTTATTACTGATTGTTTATATCTTTGGAAACCTAGTTTAGCATTCATGTTTTTTTCCTCTGTGTAGGTATTTGCATAAGCTTCTGTAGGAAGGAAGGTTAACACCTGTTAGAGCGCTCATGGGCCACTCAGTTGTTCAGTAATCAGTGTTTTTAAGGTCCTGAAATGTCCTTAAAATGCCCTCAGGCAGATTTAGTGCTTTACATTTTCTCTGTGCTGAGAGAATTAAGTGGCATTGCAGATAACAGAGAGAAACGATTGGTTATGTTGCACTTTATGGTTTTCTTTGTGTGGAAGCTCTTTTTTTTTTTTCTTTTCTTTTTTTTGGCTTATGTTTAAATACTGTCTGCTTCATTGCAGATCACTATTTGTGGGGTAATTAAAAATCTTGTAAGCCGTGACCGGGGATATACATTTTTGTTGGGATTGTCTAAAAATAATCCTGAATGGGGATATTGAAAATACATAAAATCTGCAGTTACTGTCTTTTTAAAAATATCTAGTCTAGTGTATGTTTTTTTTTTTTAAATAAAACCTTTTATTTTTGCAACACTTTGATTTAGCTTGGCATAGCGCTCAATCCGTGATGTAATTGGCCATCAAGCTGTTGGCAGGCAGTTGCTTTGTTTGAGATGCATATGGCTTCAAAGTATGTGGTGCAACCACCACCACCACCACAGCCTTGATGCTTTGCGTCGTCTTGATTGTGATGCACCCTCGCATTGCGCCACATATTCTTGAGGAGCCATCTCTGTCTCAACAGTTCGTTTCATACTAGACGTCCTTGTAGCAAAGCTCTCTGCGAGCCTGATGAAGATGCCACGTATAACTCACACTTGGGACGTGGGACTCATGTGGTCGCATGCTCTCCTGTGCACATATACATGTTCACACTCGCATCTCTGAACTCTCTGAAATGAATGTGGGGAGTGGCTTCACTGGTCCGTCATCAAAAAAACCCCCACAAAAAATAGGAGGGTGTCTCTGGGCTTAGTGCGACTGTGCGTTTGTAGAAATGCTAGTTCATTTTTCTGTTGTAGTGGGGATTTGACCTGTTTGATGGTTAAAGAGTGCATGATCTTTAGTGTCATTATACAGAGCACAATGCAATTGGGCTTGGATCAGAGATGATAAAAAAAAACAAAACAAAAAAAACAATCCCCAAACTAAACAGCAACCTAAAAGACAAAAATAGACTTAGCCAGTGTAAAGTGTCAAAGCTTGCAATATCTTAAGGAGTACACATTCCTCTGACGTTTGATTCATTCAGACTGATGGCAACCTGTTGGCAGTCTATCTGTATTTATCTATTAAACAGCAATTATTTGCAAACCTTTGACAAGTCGAACTCCAGCTATTTAGTTTCTGGACAGGTTCCAGAACGTTCTCCAGTCCAGCTTGGAATTGGATATAAATATATAAATTGTAGTACATACAGTCCTATGAAAAAGTATTTGTTACATTGTTTCAGTTAAAACAAATTTTCTTTAGATAAAGATAACTCATAAAAATGAAAGAAAATACAATTTTAAACATACCTGGAAAAATATGCAAATACAAATGTGGATTAAAAAAAACAACAACCAGATTTTAACTCTTGAAAACAAGAAGCCTCCTGCTTTGCTGAAAACTATGTGAACATGTATCTGTAATGTATTTTTTTAAACTCATTATACCTCGATTGGGATTCAAAGTAGATACGATGCTTTCAGCTCTTTAGGTTAACCGCAGTAGAAATAGTAATTTATAGCATTACATGCACATCATTCTTCAGTGACGCTCAAGCATTCAAGTGAAATAACAATAAGCACATTCCTGAGTCTTTGGGGGGGTCAAGCTTCAGGTATTTCAGGTATTCTTAAGATGATAGAGATACGTCTGGAACAGGAACAAACATTTTAGTTTGTCCTTGTTTTAATTGGCTTATGGCTGATATTTTTTTTGAACAGAAAAAACCCATGGTGAATTAATAACACTCTTGACATCTAATATCCTTTCCACGTCAAAGCCATACTATTTATCTAGAGGCCGAATTTATGTAACAGCCCCCCAGGACTCCATTGTTGGAGCCTCATCTATCTGGAAAAATGCTTTTCATGTTTTTATTACTCGCAAAAAGGACGATGCAGCTCCCTCTGTGTATCTGTGCGGATTTTGTTCGGCCACTCCGTGACACTGCTAACAGCTTGTTTTTAAGAAAAAGAAAACAAAAGAAAAAAAGAAATACAGCTCAATTTTATTCCTTTCCCCATTACAGCACCTATTATTGATGTCCTGTTTTAAGGTGGACTGGATGTACCGACCAGTTGATTGTATCACATGTAATCTCAAGTCTGCTTGCAGATTTGTGGAGGTGAGGAAACGGGCAGGGTTTGAACATCTTTTTCCAGCTCTGTTCCTGCATTATTTAGATATTTCTGACAGTTTTAACCAAATGCAGTGCTATGAATTCTCTCTTTGGAGAGACTGCGTGAAAGTGTACTCTGTAACCTCTTATAAACCAGTTCTTTTTCATTCATTGTTGTCTATGTGCATAACCTGTGTCTAGCTTGGTGACTGGAGTCACAGTGTGAGCATAGTCACAGGTGAAAATGTTTAATTTTTTTGTCACAGCGACACAAGAACGTGATTGTCTTCAACATATCTGTGCGGCTCCCAGAACTGTTGATGAGCTCACTGTAGACAACAATCAAGAGCCAGATCGTTTGTCTGCCCCTGGCTGTTTGCTTGGTTACTTCATTTCCGTCTGTCCCCAAACTCGGATACAGTTGTTCTTTGCTTGGACTTGCTTTAATAATCCTCTCTTATACTCTCCCCTGGACAAGGGGGATGTAAGTATGACTTGGGTTTGTTTGACGAGTTCCTCTGCTGCAGACAAGACCCTCTCACGTAACCTCTCTTCTGAAGTTGTCCCGAGGCTGTTTGTTTAAGCATGTTTGAAATAGTTCCCTGGTTGTACCCGTTTTGTGATTTATTTATTTTTTGCCCTCGTAGCTATGTGCATGCACACAGACATGATGTCTGATTCTGTCTTCCCCCGAAGGGCCTACAAACAGATTTTCTTCCCCCTTATTCTGCAGCTACACCCAGCAGGGGGCTCCTGGTACAGGGAGGTGGGGAGCATTGCCAGTCTGGCCCAAGAAGGGATAAAATTCTTGCAGGAAAGGCTGCATGACTATAGCTTCACTGGAGGGGATTGAAAGAAGGTAGGGGGCAGTGAGGAAAACTGAAACCAATGCCATACACACACAGTGAAACAAAGAAGTAAGTGAGCAGATCTGAGAGATGTCAGATTCCTGTTGGGTAGATCAGCTAGCCCAGTCCTGCAGGCTTCAGTCTTGTCTTTTGCCATTATCCTGGATATTACTTTATCTGGAGGTAGCTTTTTTCCAACTTGTTAATGTTTTATGTGTTTTTTTTTTTCTTCTATCAAACAAAAATACCAAATGTTTTAGGATTCTTAGATGTAAAGTTTGCAGTCATGGTTTAAAAAAAAAAAGTTTTACCCATCAGTGCTTCATAATAAATCATGTGGTCCTTAGGAGCTCCTTAAATGACTTGAATCTAACTTCAGACAGAACAAAACACAACAGGTTTTACCATTTCTTTATTTATCTAGGAAGTACAAAGCTAAAATGCTGAAACAGTATGCGAAAAAACTAAGTATACCCCATGATACCGTAGCTTGTAGACCCATCTTCAGAAGCAATAATTTGAATGATTCTGTATAACTTTTAGTCTCGCACATCATTTTGGAGGAACTGTGGCCCACTCTACAGAGTTGCTTCAGTTCATTCAGGTTTGCAAAATCAGATTCTGGGGTAAATTTTCTTGGAAATCCACCTTGGGAAGACTGGCAGCTGTGTTAAATGTTTCCTTGTTTGTGAATAATCTGACCATAGATTGATATTGTTTGGAAGTGGGCTTATAACACTTCTTACATTGATAGGAACCAACAATTCCTTCTCTAAGATCATTGATTACCTCCTGGATACCTGATTGTTTCCTGATTGCTGCCAACACCTCTGCTTTTATAGGGGTAGGTACACTTTGTCAGTTATCGAGTACATTTGTATTAGCAGCACCTGGCTCCCACTTTCTCTCTTAATTCTCATGGAAGCAGTAAATGTGGACTTAGTTTTTCACATACTGCTTCTGCATCTTTGCTCAGTTTCGAAATGATGACCTGGTATAATATGTCATCTTGTTGTTGTTCATCTGAGATTGTATTTACTTAATTTCTAGACCTGCTAAGGACCAGACGATTTATTATCGTTATTTAGATATAACGATATTTTGATATGTAAAATCTGTAAAATCTGCTACAAATATAAACACTCGAGCTTTGCCTGAACGACCGTGACACTGACACTGAAAAACTAAGGATGCAGGTTGTGATGAGATGATGATCTTCAAAATTGTGTTTGGTTCCTCTGTCATTTGAATTTGGCGTGATTGGCGGGGTAAGCACAATGATAGTATCACGAAGCCGTGACAAAGAGGCTTCTCTCAAAGCAGCTTACAATAATGTCGGGAGTATGGATGGCCTTGCAAGACTTAAACACTTTAAGGCTCCGAGTTACATTGGCTGTAGATAGCATCGGCACTGCTGCTGAGTAGTTTTTGTCCTGTAATGTTGACTTTGTTAAACCTTCAAACGGTTTGCTGAACAGGTATGCTTTTTTTTTTTTTTTTTTTTTTTTTTTGTCAGCAGTGTGTGGGTTCCAGTTTTTATCAGTGTCACACATTCAGACCTTCAACCCACCCAGCATGACTGTAGTCTTGATGGAAAAAGGGAAAAAGAGCATTTCCATTAAGAGAATACAGTGCTCCTACTCTCTCTCTGCATTGTAAAATAGCCTTGAATTATTATCAAGCAAACAATGAACAGGACGCAATGACAAGATTAGTAATGAGTCACAGCAAAAAAGGTATTTTTGCCTGGAAAGATGGTGTATTATGGATGTTAGCTGGGTGATGTATTAACAAGTGTTTTTCATTTCTCAGACCCTGGGTTTCTGATGAGTGCTTGCACCCTAGGTGAACACGAAGCTGAATGGACCTAAATATAGGTGTTATGTACAGAGAAGGCTTTGCTGTATTAAATCTGAATCCGCATGAAAGACCGTTTTGATGTGACTTGAAACGGGTAGTAATACACAGGAAAAGCACGTTTTTCCTCATTTTGATGGAAAATCTTTTTCGAGTTTTTAATAAAACTGAAGAACATAGGGCTGGTTTGTGCTCGCCATCTAGAGCCCTTTGTTCTTAAGTGAAAAAGAGGCTTTGTTTTCCTGTGGAGCCCTGGCTAAACCAAAGAATCAACAGTTCTCTGGCAGACAAATAAAGCCTGGAAGAGAAAGCTTTGACAACAGCAGATTTTGTTTTTTTTGTTTTTAATTTTATTGTTTTCATTGGTTGAGAGTGCTGAGCGATTTCTGCTTTTCTTCCTAGAACAGCAGGAAAGTTAAAGATTATTTCATGCAAATGTCAGCCCAAGGACAACATTTATATCTAATGTGGTCTTCACTGGCTTTTTTTTCCTGTTCTTAATAGCATTCCCTATAGATATTTACTTCTAACACCTGCTTCTCTACAAAGGACTATTTCTTAACATGTGCCAGGATTATATTGGTTTTCTGACATGCCTTTGCCTCTCAGACTGTCATCTAACACACCTAATATAGACTTAATGTAAATTAGTAACTTCCCAAGGTGTCGAAAGGTAAATAATTCTCTCACCTGCTCTGGGCTTTAGCTTATTTGCTTCTAAATAGCTAAAAGCTGTAGAGGTCAGTGTTTTTTCTTTGGTATTTGACTAGAACAATGCCAGTTTTATGTATATGACAGTTTTAAGCAGCACCTAGTTCATTTTGACCATGCTCTTTTTTTTATGCATTAAAAAATCCCAAATCTCCCTGTGCAAGAATGTTGGCTCTGGAGTGGAGCAAATATTTGATGTTTGCTCGCCTCATAAGGTGGGAGAGATTTTTATAGGATGAGGATGTTTGTAGTGAATGACTTTGGAAACAAGATGAGTGCATTTTCATCAGAATTTAGAAGCCTTCCCATGAGATGGCATCTGCTCAGGCTTCTCCTATTACCTTTTCCTTTTCTTTCACGGTTTCCCCCAGGCTCTGCTTTTCACATACACGGTATGTGAAAAGCAGTAGCTTAGTAGATGTTTCAGTAGCTGATTTTGGTCAGTGTCTTACCTATTCTCTGTTTCTCTTACCTTCAGTTGCTCACCACTCTTTGTTATCAATGTGAGAATTGTGAAGAGTTATTTCAGTCCTGAAAGCCTTGCCAAGGGATCTAATACACTGCTTTTTGTCATGACTATAGTATAAAAAAGTAAATGTTCTGATAAGCAAGTCTTCACAGAAGTCCACCTAATGAAAATACTTTTCTGGTATTGTTGTACGAATTCTATATAAATTGGATGAGTCAAGCATCCAGTCATCACTTATTCAGTATTGCTAATATTGCACCAGGTTTTGACAATTACGCCTGATTTCATTTTGGACATTTTTAGCTAATGCGCCCAAAAAAACCGATGAGCCATTCCCTTAAATTCTTCCTTCAACCAAGGTTTTAGGGACTGTGGGTGGAAAAATGCACCCGTCTAAATAATGTTTCTCAAATGATTCCAATTTAGTTATTTGAAGTAATTTGGTAATGAAAGCTTAAGTTAAAATAAAGACGTTTCTGATCAAAAAAAGTAAGATCAAAAAATGAGATTTAAAACTTTGAACTGCAGATGGAGGTATCAATGAAAAGACACAAGATGAGTCAGTGTTTATATCTGACTCACTTTATTCATCCTGAAAACCCACAGAGATTCAGACAGCATCTCCACTGGCTAATGATTTGAAAAAAAGCTCTCTGTGTGTTTGTGTGCTTAATCACATTCATTCACTGGTTCGTAATACTGGAGAAACTCTTAACTCTGACCAACTTGAAAGACTTCTTTGATCCTTTTAGACTCATTTTATACTTATTGCAACCTGCACTTTGATAAAAGTGTTTATGTCTTTGCACTCACAAAGCACTGTTTTCAAATGTCGGTGTTACAGGATGTTAAGTGTACATGACCTGCAAAGATGAGATTGACATATTACTTTGTGCAACACTGAATAAAGACAATAGCACATCAAAATTTAACAGATATTTGTGACCTTTAATTTGCATGGTACACTTGTTTCTCTGCAGTTTCTTCTGGAATTACATTTTCACATTATAAATAAATTCCTTTGTATCAAACCATACCTAAAACTTATTTTAAATACCTTTGTAAAAGGTTGTTATCTTATGTGTATGGATGAACATATATGAAAACTGATTTATTTCCTTTGTATCTAATGAGCTTTAAATCATGAGAATAGTACAACATCTACAGAAAAGAGACATGTATGTGCTGCTTTATATAGATTATAGAGATTAGAGGGATAACTGCCCAGCTCACTGTTTTTTACCCACTGGTTTTTAGTGTGGATTAAACAAGTGAAACCCAATATGTAAATTACTGGGCTTTAAATGTGGCAGTGATAGGCCCTCATCAAACTCACAGCATTTCAGGTTTTTGCTCTTAACTATAATTTATGCGTTTCCTCAACCCATTGTTGTGTCAAACAGACTCCACAATCCACATACTGACACTTTCTTCAAGGAGTAGTTTTCCTGACAGTGCACCTTCAGTATTCTTAAGGGACTCTTCTCTTCTTTTCCTCTTCTTTTGTCTTTCTCTTTGGGAAAGACCTTAGTCTTTAGGGTCGTGTGTGTGTGTGTGTGTGTGTGTG